ACAGTCAACCAAAAGAAGTGCGTGTTCTAACCTCCAATTCTCCTCTTTCTCTATTTTAATTATTCATGTTACTTCAATTCTCATCTCCTAGGAACTATTTCAACCGGTGGTGAGTTGGTTAAGCTGATCAGTCTTAAATGTTATTTATAGATAACTGGTTAATTTATAGATGACTCTTTGGCCGTGTCGTAGTTTCCAGGTTAATAAAATGATATCAATGTTAAGACAGAACTATTTCAATATTCCAAGCCGAAATCTGTCTGGAAAAAAATCAAGAGAATAATTATATAAACCTACAATACGCTTTTAATACAGTTATTGCAAACTATTGATGACACAACAGTGATGCACTCTAGCGGAACTTAAGCCAACTAACCCCTTTCCTTTAGTCATATAAAGAGAGAAATAGCCAAGTCCCCCCTTATTATAATCATATATAGAGACATAATGACATGAACTACACATACTCAAATCCCCATTAATGATACTTTCCACTGATGCTGTACTTGATTCCTCCCTAAAAGTTGAAAATGAGAGGCTATAGCTTGGGCTGCACCTCCTCCTCCGCTCACAGGAACTCCAGTCCGTTGGTAAGCCTTGAGTCTAGTTAATTTTCCTGATTTTTTGTCGTTTTTTTTTCCCCAATCCTCTCTGCCCTGCCTAGTTCAGTAAAATAAAGAATATCTGGATAAACATCTACGGATTTCTGTATTTCTTTTCCGTCTCTATAAACATTTTTTGGTGTTGTCTATGCGCCACATAAATTGGAATTCAAAATATTTATTCTCGTTCTTTTCCTTTATACTTTATGCATGTGTTAGACAGCCACTTGTTCACGGTAAAAGGGTACATCGCAGTAAGTACTCAGTCGTACGTAACTAACCTATTTATGGCAATTTCTTACTTCTATTGCAAATATAGTAAGTGTATCCGTCCTATTTCTTGAAGCGACTTCAGGTTCTGTAGCAGCAACCTCGAGGGTATGTGGTTTATCAACATAGCGAGAATGTTTTTATGTATATATATTTTTATATTATTAAATCTCATTTTTATATATAATCTATGTTTCATTACCAAACGTAAGTATTCTTGGCATCAATTAATTATTTGTTCTAATCCTCTGCATGGTATTAATAACCATGATTTCACTTGCTTTGCATCTGGTTCCCTATTTGCCTTCACAGAATAATTCGAACCTAGTTTTTAATTGCATTCACCCATTTTATTACACAGTATGCGAAATCAAAGGCCTATGAAGGGGAAACAAAACCCCTCAAATTCTACTTTCCTTTCTATGAAGGAAAGATATGCATGACTCCCACATCTGAATATCTGGAAAAATATATATCACACTAAAAAAAAAAAGTCCTATATGTTTTTTTTATTTTTATTTTTTTTTTTTTTACCTCATCTGAAATATATATAACACAGGACAACCTCTACTCTTCTGAAATATATATAACAAGGACAACCTCTACCTTTCTGAAATATATACAAGGACAACCTCTACTTTCTTGAAATATTACAGCTGGGGAACATAGACGGTGCTATTCTGCTCGACTGGAGAGAATCCACGCTGCTGAACAAGCTGGAAGCAGGAGCCAGGGTGGGCACACTCATGCTCGACGCCGCTCGGAAGGAACTCTCGGATTTCCACAGCAAAGTCCTTCCTGTGTGTGAACATTACGATAACTTGGGACTTCTTTACGTGGTGAGTCGCCGGGGGAAGGGTGGGGAGGGAAGGGTCTCGTCTGCAGAGCGGGGGAGGGATGGGGTGTGTGTGTGTGGGGGGGATTTAAGGCATGATGGTATCCCGTTTCTAGGAATACTTTGAGGATTTTTGTTCTTCGTCGTTTATAAACTGTAGTGAAAGATGTTATAGATGTTGAATATTGTTTTGGTTATTAACTGCTGCAGACCATTGGTTTATATATCAAGGATTAAGTTGAACTTACAAACTCCTTGAAAAAAAGGTGATTTAGTAAGTCATTCTCAGAATTTTACACAAATGCCCGAATGTTGATGTCCAACTTCTTTAGAGTTAAACGCAGCAATTTTGTTATTGACTTCCAAGTATCAATGTAACAAAAAAAGAAAGAGGAAAATAAAAACTGACCATTTCAGAGCTTTACTGGAAAATAATTCGAGTATTTATTTGAAAAGGATATGTATAGAAGTCCTTTGAAATAGATCTACCTTAATGTAATTACACAATCCATTCTTTCTCCCTAGAAGTTTGACAGTCTATTAACACAAGATCAACACTTCTACTAACTATAACGACCCATCCCCGAGCACTTTCTGGAAACCTGGAAACGAAAATTACAAAAGAAAACATTGCTCTCTATTTATTTGTATATTTATTATTATTATTATTATATTTTATTATTATTATTATTTATCTATCCACCTGCTCCACCTCCCTGACGCCTTTGCGATGGCTTCTTACTTCAGGTGTCTGGAGATCGAAGTCAGGAGGAGGTGTTCCGAGACGTGCAAAGGGCCCACGCGAGAATCCTTCAGCCGGCTCCTCTCCCGCCGCCGTCACGAGCTTCCGTAGGTGAGTAATCTTTCTCCTTTCGCGGTTTGAAGGAGCCAATAAGGATGTCTGTGGTTTTTGGTTTGTTTGTGTGTCTTGCTCCTTTCCTTCTGTGTTCATAAATGGCCGCAGGTGCATTATGTTAAGAAAGTGTTTACTAAGGCTGGACGCATTTTCTTTCTTTTATGTTCGAATTCTTATAAATGTTTTTTTTTTATTGTGCGAGCGTGTTTTGTGTCTATTGGCGTGTGCATGTTTGTATATCCTTCTCTTTACGTATCCATCTCGCTTGTATCTGTCTCAGTGTTGTAAAAATAAGCTTTACGTGGTTGTTTATTAAAACAAATCTGATATGCTAACTCATTTCTAAAAAGCTGTCCCTTTTGTATTGTCTGCATAAAGCAAAAAGTTTATAAATCTTCGATAATTCACTGTTTACTATAAAAATAATTTCTAGTTTCTAATCTATTCGGTTGGCCTATTACCTTACCTTCATAAAAGCCTTAATTACGTATCTCATCGAGGCCGCGTCACATCAGGCAGATCAGCAAGGTATGGTAGGTGTCTAACAAAGGTAAACCCAAGAACAACCCTTTTTTCGTGTATTCATAAGACTCAATTCCCCTTCCGTTCCTCCGTTCCTGTCTCTCCATTCAGTGTTTATCCCATTCGCGTTCGTTCGTCCTCCTCCCTCTTTCTCCTTCTCCCCCCTCTCTCATCTTTTGCAGATCCGCCAGACGCTGGTTTCTTCGCTGGCTCTTCGCTTCACCCTTGCCTTGTCCCAAACTACCGACACCTCTTCGTCCTTTTTAAGCGTCTACCTGCTTTCCTTACAAACTAAATCATATATAATATTTTACTGTTGTTGCTGCAGTTCCCAAAGTTAAGTTTCTTTTACAACTTATCTTTATTATTATTGTTGTTGTTATTATTTGCGTTCTTCCAAGAGAGCGATGGCTTTGCTGAACAAGTCCAGTGATTACCCACGAGTAAATTTTGGTTTTGATGCTGAATCTATTTTTTTCTTGGTTTATTTATCACAGATTTTCAGGATCCCCTTTTTACCTCTACAGAAAATTCAGGCTTAGAGTGTGACCATCGTCGTATTGGCATTAATTGATAAAACTTAAGTACAAGAATGCTGTTAGACGGGATTTTTCATTATGCTAAGGCCTCTTTTTCAGTTAAATAATGCGATTGACTGTCTATTACCACAACGGTTTTATTAATATCACTGCTTTCTCTCACTTCACTTCTGGAAGTATACCAAATTGATCTGGCATCTGATTCTTGCAAGTCGACGATGATTCACCGTTTTCCTTACTGCAAAAGCGATATGGAATACCCTTTTCCCCTTCAGGTGAGAAGTCTAGCAATCTCACGAACTGAGAGCTCCGAATATCCAGTGTGCTAGAAATTTTGCAAGCAGGGATACTTACTTCGATGTCCCGTAGAAAGTAAAGTTCAGAATATCCAGGGTACAAGAATTTTTTCAGGCAGGGTACTTACTTTTTGATGTCCCTTCGCATACATAGAAAAATCTAGATCAGTTTTCCCAAAAAACGAAGCAAACATATAATTCAAACGTAGATTACATTCGTGAATTGTGATAGCAGGATTGACATTACCGGACTAAGGCATCCGTCTATGACAGAAGTAGCGTGATACTTGAATATATTGATAAGAATAACAGTAACAAGAATGTCCATCCATGGCCAGACTTATCAGGTATAATTCACAGCCTCAGCCATCTTGCCAAGTGACGACGCACACACTCCAAGTCTGAAGAGAACTCGAATTTCTCTACCCTTCTCGACGGCACGTACCTTGACGATACCAATACCACTCAAAACAGAAGAGGAAAACCCCCATCTGCCTGTCGATCCAACCCCTCCCTTTAAAAGCCTTACTTGGAGTCTGGTCTTACCTTCCCGAGGAGAGAACCCTGCAGCTGGAATCTCTAAGCCCCTTCCCTTCGCCTGGCTTCGCATCACGACCTCTGACAGTTCTCATGCCGCACCCCTTCCCTTGCTCGTTGCCAGGTGTATCTTATATTCTTTTTTTTTTTGGACTGAGCATATGGTATGTCCGGTATACTGTCTTTTTTATTGCTTGGGTAGACGTTGGATTTTATATATGAAAAAAAAAATGTATGTATGTATATTCATATGTATGTATATGCATATATTTGTTTATCTGTTTATTCATTGGAAAATTACACCAAAATATATACTGGAAAACGAAACAAAAGCAAACAAAGTAGATAAATAAAGATTTTTTTTTTATCAAGTATAGAATTCATTGAAGTAATAAAGCAGTTAATGTAGAGGAAACGAAAGTTTCTCTTTAAAAGGAACTGATGTTTTCCACTGTATCCACAGTCTTATTCGACTGGATAGCAAAATAAGGAATGAAGATTTCAAAAATAAATTTTATGAATTCATGAAAATGGGAATATCAA